TATAAAATACACACATTCCCACTCGCGCAGTCTGATGAGAAATTTAGAAAGATTTGGGTTATAAAAACCGCTTAATCGTTGAAATTTTTCGAGAGCGAGCAAAAGCACTCTCTAACTGTCATCCCGTTATTCTGATATATTTTAAACATATTTCACTAGTTTTTCGGTAAAATCATCCATTTCCTTTTTATAATTTTACTACACCTCTTGTTAAGGGTCAACCAGAGTTTCACTACTTTTATCCTCTTTCTATAAGAATCCTCTAAAGACAGTTTGTTTATCATAGTTAGCTGAATGGTTACGTACAGAAAGTACATTTAACGATGAGCGGGGTTATCGACCTGCTGGAAACATGAAGTTTTTTCGGAGGATCTACGGAAGAGGTAAACACAAAGAATATGATATATATATATCGTCTTCGAGGGGACGCCGAGTTGATAGGAAGATGTATATATATATATATATATTGAGCTGTCGTGACGTCAAACCATTTGGACACTAACTTCCCATCTCAACCTTACCTCTTGAATTTTCCCNCTATAATAAAACAGGCCCTGAAGATGACAGTATAAAAACTGTCGAAAGCTCGGCGAAAACCGAAAGGAAGTTTTTCTCTGTGTTGACCTCTTCCGTAGATCCTCCGCAAAAACTTCAAGAAAGTGCATTGTTTAGGTTAAGATGTATAATGTATGTGATGGATCGTATACAACGACCCCTCAATCTGGTTGACAGCTGGTGCAGAAGGGAAGAGTTATCTATCAACCCCCATAATACCATAGTGATTCCATTCACATGGAAGAGGACAACCGGAAGCTTAAAAACTCCAAGCCTAAACGGGATTCTGATTCCATTTTCCAAGAAGGCCATATATCTAGGGATTACACTAGATCAGCGGCTCACGTGGAACTCACATCTACCTAAAACTACCCAAAGAGCGAAAATTGCCTCGGGGAGGTGCAGAAGACTGCGCCAAGAAATGGGGTGTAAACCTGTGTCCTAAGAACAATGTAGACATATGGGTCGGTGGTGTGGTAGAGCAAAACTCTTCAGGAAGTAATAAGGCTATTATATTAAGTGGCACCCAAGGACAAAAAGCCTGTCTCAGTGTAACTGGTGCCATGAGCACGTCAAATGCGGCCAAGGACGTGTTGTTAAACCTCCCACTACTTCATAATTTAATCCAAGGAGAAGCCAGAGCACCAGCCCACAGACTCATAAATGGACAACCATATGGTAGTATAGACCATGTAAATAAACAATGGAAACTGAGGGAGGAGAAACAGGCAGATGTTCTTCTAGGTATGCCAATTGATGCCACTACTTCAAAGTAGAATGGGATGAATGAGTCAAATTAACACCACTGGTATACTGACGGTTCCAAAAGCAAAAAGGGTACTGGATCTGGGGTTTTTGGGGTGAACCCCAAGACCGAACTGACGGTAAACAAGGCAAGTATGCTACAGTTTTCCAGTCTGAAATCTTAGCGATTGAACAATGTGCCAAAAAAATGCTAGGAATACATTCCCGGAAGATTGACCTTTTCTCTGACAGCCAGTCAGCACTCAGGGCCTTAGTCTCATGCCAAGTTTGGAAATGCATGGAGACCCTGATGGAAGTCAGCGACATTAATGACTTGACCTTGCAGGGTCCCTGAACATTCGTGACTTAGAGGCAACGAAAAGATTGGCATGTTAGCCAAAAAGGGAGCCAACATGGACTCTCTAGGCCCAGAACACTACTGCGGCCTAGCAGCCTGCCTCGAAAAAGGATAAATTTTAACATGGATCCTTAATGAGTCAAAAACCTGATGGAATAATGTCAACCGAATGTCAACAACGTCCGCGAAACTTAAAAAAGAATTACTGGAAGGCAACCGCAACCGAACCAACATTCTGGTTCAACTCCTGACGGCACTGCCATATAAGAAAGCACATGCACCGGACAGGAGTACAGACAGAAGTACTGTGCAGATGCTGCCAGGAAGAAGAGTAGACCGCAGAAACATAAAACGTTTATCTATCTCCCTCTATCCATCTCTCTCTCTCTCTCTCTCTCTCTCACTTTCTCTCTCTCTATCTATCTATCTCTATCTAACTATCTATCTATCTATCTCTCTCTGTTCCTCTCCCTCTCCTTTTCTCTCTCTCCATCTTTCTTTCTTTCTTAAAATATCAATCTTCCATTTCTTCACTCTCACTCTCTCTCTCTCTCTCTCTCATGTTCTTTCTCTATCCACTCCCGCTCAGTTCACTTCATTCTACTCTTCTTTTTCATTCTCTTTTTCTGTATTCTGTTCATTCTCTTCCTCTCTCTCTCTCTCTCTCTCTCTCTCACTCTCATTTCTGTGTACGATGACGGGAATCGAACTCACGAACGGGCAAAGAGAGAAAGGAAAACCTAACCACTCTTCTACCGCAGTCCCCAATTTATTTATTTGTTTATCTATTTTGTACAATTAGCTTTATTTAATATAATTAATCACAACATAAATTATACTTCAGTAAATTGAAGTGTAAATATCATGGGGATAATTTGACTTAATAAAAGTAATTTTTTTCTTCTTCTATCACACTAAATAAATGCACATGTTTTCTTCAAATTTAAAAATTAAAATTCATCAACGTACAATCACATACGTTTATTTACCAAAGAAAGCTTAGAGTAAATTAAGGATTTTCATCTTCTTCGAAAATTGCTTGTAGAAGGCTTTTTTTCGAAGCTGGGTTCAGTGTATTCCAATTTCCTCGTGGTGTAGACAAAGAAAAAAGAATGAACAAACTCTTGCGATCATTAATGCTAGTGTATATAATAAAGGAAAATGTCTATTGTTAATGGAAAGACTCGGTATAAGAAATACGTACAAAACCCGAGCAAAGGCGGTAATAGGGTATGCCAGAGTAATGACCAAGGAGAATAGCCTGCAACGTCCATTTGTTACATCTCGGGTAAGAATGCCGCCCAGTAAAGAGGATTGTGTCCGCCAGGTGCATCAATCAACAGTTCCCCGTCTACAAAATCCCCTTCATCTATTAGCTCAGGACGTCGTGTCAAACGGTGCAATGCATAAATGATTTTCTACTCGTCCTCGGACACCCCTGAGGAATTTGCCCCTCTCTATTTTTCACCCGGAGACAACCTCTTGGACGTAAAGCATGGAACTGGAACTAAATCGCTGTGTCAAGAGTTGTCATATTTTATACTAAAAATATCCCAGCTCATAAAAAAAAGGTTTATTTTGTTACCACTGTAAAGTAACCACTATTAAATAAGTAAACATTACTTAATGTAATTGTTAGTAAAACAGTGGTACTGAATAAACAGAACACCACTAAATCTTTCTCACTCTCTCTCTCTCTCTCTCTCTCTCTCTCTCTCCATTTTTCTCATACTGCCTGTATGCCTGTCTATCTCTCTCTATCCATCTCTCTGTATCCATTTCTCTCTCTCTCTCGCTCACTCTCTCTCTCTCCCTTTCTCTCCCACCATCTCTCTTTTTTTTAAACTATCAATCTTCCACTTCTTCACTCTCTCACTTTCTCACCCTCTCTCTTTCTCTCACTCTCTCTTTCTCCCTTTCTCACATACTGGCAGTATGTTTGTCTGTCTCTCTCTCTCCATCTCTCTGTTTCTCTCTCTCTCTCTCTCTCCCTTTCTCTCATACTGCCTGTATGCCTGTTTATCTCTCTCTATCCANCCAAATTGAAGCTTAGGTTGAGTCGAGAGTTGCGATTTAGCGACTTTGTCCTGTTGCTACTTCAAATTGATCTTTCTATCCATCTCTCTGTTTCTCCCTCTCTCACTCTCTCTCTCTCTCTATGTTTCTCTCCCTCACCTTTACTCTCTCTCCATCTATCTTTTTTTTAAACTATCAATTTCTTCACCAAGTTCTTCACTCTCTCTCTCTCTCTCTCTCTCTCTTTATTCTTTCTCTACCTTTCTCTCATACTGCCTGGATGTCTGTCTTTCCCTCTCTAATCATCTCTCTATTTCTCTCTTTCTATCTCTCTCACTTTCTCTCCTGCTCTTGCTTCTCACTAATTCATAACTTTTTCTTTCTCTGTTTTCTGACTGCATATCTCATTTTTCCCTCACCCCCGATTTTTCTTCATGCCACCCTGTTTGTCCTGTTTCTTTCTCTCTTCAGGCCTACTGCCCATCTTTTCTCACTCTTCCTCTTTCTCTCATTTAATTCTTTCACCTCTTGCCGTCAATCTTCCCTTATTATCTCAGACAACCTTTGTCTGTTTGTCAGTTTTTCAGTTTTTATAATTGGCATTTGGCACTTCTTGAAAAAAGGAAATATGAAGTGGGAAAATCATGAAATCGCCTCGCGGGAGGCACTGAACTGAAAAAATAATCTGATAATTATTATTTATTGATTGTTTAATCATTTTATCTTTTTTTTTATTTTTAAATATTTTTTTAAGAAATGTACAATATTATAAATTGCAAATAAATTGTCGTCTGAGTTATGTGTTTGATCTGAGTCATTCCTCCTAAAAGTTGACTTTAACAAAAATTATCATATCATCAAATTAGTATTTTTTAATCAAAATTTTAGAAAAGGTTGAATAGAAAAAATTACAATTTTTTTGTGATTTTAGGGCATCATTTTGACATAAAAATATCTTTCTTTCTTCTTATTTATTTACAATTAAAAAATGTATTTATAAGTTCTAACTAAGTCCTGACTTATTGTTACTAACGTAGTTGATCAGGGCATTAAACAGCAGGCCATTATAGATGATCAGTCAAAATAATTTTTAAATTTATTTAAATTAATTTAAAATAAATATTTTCACACCCTAACCCTAAGACAAATATATAATTTTATTTATTGTTTGTAAAATGTTTTTTATATGAAGCCAATTTCAACTTTATATTGAAAAAGTTGTTTCATTGAATTTTTTACATGTACTCTTGATTTTTTTATATCTTTTGTTGAAATAAACAGTTTTTGTTTTTTATTGTTCATAGAAATTGATTTCATTATTTAAAAAAAATATTGAGCCCAAAGGCAAACTCAGGCGTTTTGTTTTTTAAAATTAGATTGTCAAAAAAAAGAATGTTTGTCGTTATGCATTATCAATTCGTCATTACAAAAATTGATAGCTTCTGATTCATTTTGGAAAGTAAACTCGAAAACAGCAATGATTACAACAGGCAATTCTGTAAATAATCAACATTTGCTGATATGATTGCATACTATGAAAGGACAGTGACTTTTTCAATAAATTAATAACGTAGTAGGTTAAGCCAAGTAAATTATCAATTAAGACAACTCATTTTCTTTATTATAAAAAAAGTATATGTATTTTTATAAAATATATGGATATGGATTTGTGGTTTATTACGTCGATATTATTTTAAAATATGCATTTTTTGTGATATCTTTAGCCAGGTGAAACATTTACGCGAAAATGCTGAAATTTGCTCTATTGTAGATTTAAAAAAAAATAGTTTATAGTAAATGTAAAATATTGGAAATTCCATAGGGGTTGCATGTTTTATCGGGTATGTCCGTTTATCTAGGCAGTCCAGCACTTATACTACTTTCAATGTTGCATTCGTTCTCTCCTCTTAAAAATTTGATGTATCCTTTATCGCCCCAGTCTGTGTTCCAGGAGTTGGCAACCAACCAATACGGCGTGCCGCCTTCTTCTCCCCATCCTAGCAAGCGTACCGCGTGTCCTCCGAGAGCGTTGCCAGTCACGTGTCGGTAAACACCTAAGAGGGGAAAAATTAATTGATAAAATGATATGATTTGTTAACTCAAAGATGATATTTACCGGTTTTGTAATGTAGAAAATCTTCAAAGACGGTAATACCGGCTTCGACGGGACCATTGGTCATAAGTTCCTTCTGGATTGATCTTTCGTCGGATCTTACACTATAAGCAATTCGTCCTAATAAATGAAAAGAAAAGAAAATATTATCATAGATAATCCATTGATAAGTTCAATCCAAATGTTTGTCTTAAAAGGTTAAAAATTTCAATGATCAAAGTGTGCTCCTTGTTAGCCAAAGTGATCCATCTCAACTATATTCGTAAGGAGAAAAAAAAGGGATATTGATTTGTACTTTCATTAGACCGTATATAAACCAATTCCATAACATTATAATCTGCTTAAAGTTCATAAGTTTAATGTGCTAAGCTCTCCTATAAAACTTTCTTTATCAGCTATGAGGCCACCACTGTGTGATTTCTCCTCAATTTTTTTCTTATAGGATTTTTATGGTTGTAGTTGTTTTACAGATGTAAAAATCAATAAAAAGAAAACGAATTAAGCGAAACTATAAGCAAATTCTTCCTGAGGTAACTGGATCGTTGGTTCGGTTAAATTACGATTTACACTGTTAATTGAGTGATTTAAATAAACCATTAAAAAAATTACACTATAGACTTACTCATCTCTAAGGATTATAGGCTATTTTATTATGGAATACAATCATAAACTTTTTATTGCATAAAACTCTTACAAAATACACAGACAGGCAAAAAATTCCACCCACTTCTAATATAACTTGATTTCGAAATATTTTTTTATATATCGAAGTTTCACGTTTTTTAACGTTTAATAATTGAGTTTTTGTCTAAAGTAAAAAAAAAGTAAAATTCTAAAGAAAATGAATAACAAAATAAATTTAAACAAATTAAAAAAAAAGACGGACAGATAAAATTTGTTTTAATTTTGTTTTAGATTTTTATTTAATATGTCAATATCGCATATTTCCTTCTCTTGCCCTTAATACATCTCAAAGATGCCTCAGCATACTTTCTACCGGTCTCGAAATGTCACTTTCCTGGAGGTTAGCGGTAGAAGAGGCAGAAAATGACGGACAGATAAAATTTGATTAATTTTGTTTTAGATTTTTAATTAACATTTTAAAATCGCGTATTTCCTCTTTTTGCCTTAATTACATCTGGAAGACGCCACGGCATACTTTCTACCAGTCTGGAAATGTCACTTTGCTGGAGCGTTAGCAGTAGAAGAGGTTTCCTGCTAATGTGGTAAAATCGGACGCTCGATCCACTGAAACGTGAACGATTAAAATATACGCCGTAATAAAATCGGACGCCGAACTCACTGACAAGTAGAAAGTCATACTTTCTACCAGTCTGAAAATGTATCTTAACTGGAGGTTAGCAGTAGGAGAGGTTTCCTGCTAATGTGGCAAAATCGGACGCTCGATCCACTGAAACGTGAACGATTAAAATATACGCCGTAATAAAATCGGACGCCGAACTCACTAACAAGTAGAAAGTCATACTTTCTACCAGTCTGGAAATGTATCTTAACTGGAGGTTAGCAGTAGGAGAGGTTTCCTGGCAATGTTGTAAAATCGGACGCTCGATCCACTGAATCGTGAACGATTAAAATATACGCCGTAATAAAATCGGACGCCGTACCCACTGACAAGTAGAATGCATACTTTCTACCAGCCTGGAAATGTCTCTTTGCTGGAGGTTAGCCCATTCTTCACGAAGAGTCCTTTCAAGATCGTGGAGCGTATCAGGCAGTGATGGACCCGGTCTTATCCGTCTTTTAGGTTATCCCATAAATGCACAATGGGGATCAAGTCTGGAGAACAGGCTGGCCAGGATAAGACCCTCATGTTATGCTATTGAAGGTACGTTTTTACTATGCGGGCGACATGCGGACGAGCATTAATCGTTAGAATAGGATTGTCGCTGATTTCATCGAGGATAGGCAACGCATGATATTTGAAAATTTTATCCACATAGCGATTGGTCATCAAAGACCCTCTACGATCGACAACCAACTCTGAGGGACTCTCCACTGAAATTTCCGCTCATACCATCACTGAGCTACGTTGAAAATGTCGGCTCTGGGAAAAATTGCAGGCTTCGTAACTTTCATTTCGCCTTCTCCACACTCTTTCACGCCCATCTGGAGATCGTACAGCTAATCTGCATTTATCTGTAAAATGTCCAACAGGCCAATCGCCCAAAGAGCAATGCCTGTGTTCTCGAGCAAATGCGAGGTGAGCAACTCCAGGTTCTGGTCAATTCTGGTACTCTTACGGAGGGAAAAGCCATCAGTCCATACTGATTTCATCTTCTTTGGGCAGTTCGTTCAGAAATTTGGACACCTCGAACTTCCTCGAGCTGAGGAATCGCTTCAACAACAGTAAAGTGCCAGTCGCAAAATTCTCAAAGTAAAAAAACGGTCATCCTGTGGTTCTATTACCCCAGAGCGTCCAGAACCGGGCCATCTATGGTAAGACCAGTTTCTCGGAAATGTCTCGCAGTGTTTCGTATGGAACTCCACTGTAAGCAGCCGCATACCTGATGGAACCACCATCATCAATGAGTGCCACACCACGCGCATCATCCTCAGCACTAAGTGGCATTTTTAAGTTTAAAAATTGAAATCAAGAATAAAAATATGAAAACTAAACAGTTTATTCCTTCAGAATTCGAATGAGACTGAGTAAGCATTTTAAATTCCGTAAAAAGTAAACATTGAAAAATCCTTTACACTTTGTTTGGATTAAGGATTAAGTGTGTCATCCACAGATGACCAAGATATATTGTAGTATAGATGTCTGAATACCACAGTATTCCATACGTACAGCCCCAGGTATTTTACAAGATCTTCCGCAGTAAGGGTAATTTAATTCCAATAAAAGTGTAGACAGTATTTGGCGTTTGAGGGTAAAAATCTTGAGTTTCAGCAATAATCACTGGTGCCATACGCAATCAAAAGCATGGACGTCGTCTAGAAGGCTTTTAGGAAGAACTGCTTAGGTTCTAGGGTTGATGCAATACCGTCAACAAAACGATCTCCATTGGTAGTTACGGAAACCGAATAGGTGTTATGTTGCAGCATAGATTATTTTGCAGGATAAGAGTAACTGCTCAAATACATTCCCAAAAATAGCTGGCGACTTATAGGACGGAACAAGGAAACATTTTAAGTTGGTTTGTGCATCTTGCGGATGGAACAGATTTTCCAGAAAGTACGAAATTAGCAGGACGCAATGACAATTTAAAGGTACTGGATCGAAAAGCATTAGATCGTTCTTGCCAATATCTAGGACCCGAAAACATGAAAAAGTGAGTTAAATAATGTTTGATTACATATGGTTTTATAGATCAGACAATATGTTTTATTAGCCTAAGATGAGAAAATAAAAAGCACGTATTTAATGAGATTCTACGTATAAAATGTTAGAAAAACGCCATACCTCGATGCAAATCGTCCTTATAAGACAGTTTGTAACCTTTTCTGCAGGTTTTTTCACATTTGGGAGTTTTACCGCCTGGAGTGCAAGGTGGTAGGGATCCGTTTATGTGATGTTCGCACGGCCGGATCTCGTACGGCTGGCATCCCTGAAACAGAAAGATTCGTTGAACGTTACTGAGCAACGTTTGCAACGTTCTTTCAGCACCTGATTACTGCCGTAGCTGCCGCCAGAAACTATGCCCGTCCTCACCCAATAATGCCAGGCAGCAGTTGGAAAACCTCCATCGCATCCGAATCCGCAACTTGAACAGCAAGACAACAAATTTTCGGCCGACAGCCGAACGCTCTCGTTACCGTTTGAATGGACGCAGTGTCTGTCAGACATCGCTTCTGCAGCTGCAATGGCCTGAAACGTATACATGCTAATTTCATTGTCAATTACGCTTGAAAATTGTCAACAGGGATCTCTCTCCTCTCTAAAGCTAACAGTCCACGAAATCTCTCAATACAGATGAAGAAAAGTCCATTTGTATTGATTGATTCTTAAGATTCTGTAGCTTGATAGCTGGATTTAATCGGTTGATTTGATAGAATTGGCCGTTTCATTCTCAGTAAGCAGTCCATTATAAGGGTTTCCTTCGAAATCTTTCTTTCAGTACAAATGAACAATAAAATCGAATTCATTGTTTTTTAATTCAAACCATTCGTTTTACATTATGATCTAGCATTAGGCATATTAATTTTTATTTAAAATACGTATAACATGGTTTGATTTATACCGGTCAATTTGGTCTGTCATATGCGTTCCGACTTCTTGCTATATTCGGTGGTGTTTTGTTTGATTAAATGGTCAATTGTAGTTCTACATAAATAGACAGATTGGTAGATGGCGAGGGGTACAGGGAACAAAATTACCAAACTATAGGTTCACCCACAACCTTCCAGGGTATAAAGGTTTTGTGATATGAACAAGGAAATAAACTGGTCAGAGAAGTACCTAGAATTGTAATAACCGTATCAATCATAGCTACATTTCAGAATGAGTCCACACACGAAAACCTCTCTCTCTCTCACTCTCGCTCTCTCACTCACTCTCTCTCTCTCACTCTCTCTCCCCCTCTCTCTCGCTCTCTCTCTCTCACTCTCTCTCTCTCTCTTTCTCTTTTTCTGTATGTCTGTTTCTGTCTCTCTTTCCCTCCCACTCACTCTTTCTCCACTTCTCTATCTCTCTTTCTTTATCTTTCAATCTCTCACTTCCTTAGTCTCACTCTCAGTTTGTCTGACTTTCTTTCTCTCTCTCTCTCTCTCTCCCTCCCCTCTCTCTCTCTCTCCTTCTCTCTCTCTCTCTCTCTTTCTGTATGAATCTCTCACACACACTCTCTCTCTCTTTTTCTCTTTCTGTATGTCTGTTTCTGTCTCTCTTTCCCTCCCACTCTCTCTTTCTCCCTATCTCTCTTTCTCTCCTTCTCTAGCTCTCTTTATTTATCTTTCAATCTCTCACTTCATCAGTCTCACTCTCAGTTTGTCTCTTTCTCTTTCTGTCTGTCTATCTCTCTGTCTCTTTCACCAATATCTCTCTCCTTCTCTATCTCTTTTTCTTTATCTTTCAATGTCTCACTTCTTCAGACTCACTCTCAGTTTGTCTCTCTCTCTTTATTTCTGTCTTTTTCTCACTTTCACCAATCTATTTCTCTCTCTCTCTGTCTCTCTCACACTCTCTCTCTCTCGTTCTGCATGAATCTCTAACACACTCTCTCTCTCTTTCTCTTTCTGTATGTCTGTTTCTGTCTCTCTTTCTCTCCCTCTCTCTCTTTCTCACTATCTCTCTTTCTCTCCTTCTCTATCTCTCTTCCTTTATTTTTCAATCTCTCACTTAATCAGTCTCACTCTCAGTTTGTCTATCTCTCTGTCTCTTTCGCCAATATCTTTCTCTCCTTCTCTATCTCTTTTTCTTTATCTTTCAATGTCTCACTTCTTCAGACTAACTCACTTCTTTCTGTCATTCTCTAACTTTCACCAATATCTTTCTCTCTCTCTCTCTCTCTCTCTCTCTCTCTCTCTCTCTCTGTCTCTCTCACTCTCACTCTCTCTTCCTTTCTCTTTCTCTCTCTTACTTCTCCCCCCCCTCTCTCTCTCTCTTTCTCTCTCTCTCTCTCTCTCTCTCTCTCTCTCTCTTTCTGTATGAATCTCTCACACACTCTCTCTCTTTCTCTTTCTGTATGTCTGTTTCTGTCCCTCTTTCCCTCCCACTCTCTCTTTATCTCCTTCTCTATCTCTTTTCCTTTATCTTTCAATCTCTCACTTCATCAGTCTCAATCTCAGTTTGTCTCTCTCTTTCTTTCTGTCTGTCTATCTCTCTGTCTCTTTCACCAATATCTTTCTCTCCTTCTCTATCTCTTTTTCTTTATCTTTCAATGTCTCACTTCTTCAGACTCACTCTCTCTTTCTTTCTGTCATTCTCTCACTTTCACCAATATCTTTCTCTCTCTCTCTCTCTCTCTCTCTCTCTCTCTCTCTTTCCTTCTCTTTCTCTCTCTCCTCCTCTTTCTCTCTCTATATATATATATATATGTCTCTCTTTCTCCTTCTCCGATCGAGTCAATTCAAGTGAACTTAACAACTAGGAACAATTTTTCCGATTAAAGGCTCATCTCTAATGTTATAAATATAAATTAAACTATGCGAGAAATATACGTTTTGACTACAGTACGTACCCAGCAGCTTCCGCAACTTCCTTGATCTCTTATTTCGAAAATTGTCGGGCAGTTCGTCCACTTTTTTCTCGCGTCGAATTCATTCGGAATGGGAGGGCGGTTGTCTCCGGTTTCTTCTTCAAGCAGAGGCAAAGTGTGCAATCCTGACATGGGATGGACGCCCATCAATTGTTTTATGTAGTCACGGTTGATCGAGGGGTGGAAATTCCGTCCGGCCTGCGAAATGAAAACTTGCAATATCCGCGGCATCTAAACATTTATCGACTTACCTTCCATGTCGAATTCAGTGAATTGATGTAATCGATAAATTCGTCGGAATATGGGTCAAACTGAGAAACTCGCACTGCCAGACCACTGCTGGCAAGTAGTGAAAGTGCAACTAAAATTTGAATCATCTAAAAACAATTACCAGATTATCATTTAAATGATAGTAAAAACATGATTTAGATGAAACATAATGGACATATAATGTTAAATTCATCGACAAAAATAACCAAAACGTCTACAAAAATTTTGACTAATAAAGAATAATAATTGAAAATTTACCTTTTTAACATTACGGATTCAATTTATCAATACAAAGGAAGGCAAATAATGATGATAGAAAAGCCTCACTGTGATCATTTTAGAGAAATTAATTCATTTGAATATCGTTTCAAATTGAAACAGTAATAAACGGACAAAACCTTGTCACAACCTTCTTATATCCTTAATTGTAAGCTATCCAGCACGGGCTTTTTGTCCGATCGATAGAGTGTGCTATGTATCAACAAATCTTAAAAATTGCATATGTGAACTTTCCTTTGAAATAAAAATTCTACTAGCAACACATATTTTTTCATCTTGTCCTTTATTTTCTTTTTGATATTGTTTTATAACTATAGTGTAAATCATGATCTCAAACTTTAGATTGGATATAAAATTTCAAATTGAAATACAAGATAGAGTAGATATATAGTATAAATATGGCCCAAAGAAAGAGAATTGTCAGGGGCTGATATAAAAAAAAACAAGGACTAGAAATCATTTAAGCCTTAAAAATTGCCAATTATTTCAGGCGGAGATTGTCGTTATTAAAACCATTACAGTTCGTGGTTCGATTGACCAATTAACATTTTTCGATTAATTAATATTTATGAAAGGTATTGGTTAAGATAAAAAAAGTCAGTGTCACGAGCGGGATTCGAACCCACGATCTTCGGCTAGATACCCACCTGCTCTACCACTTGAGCTATCCTGACCTCGATCCACTCGGACACTAACTTCCCTTCAGAGTGGATCGAGGTCACGATAGCTCAAGTGGTTAGAGCATCGCCGTATCTAGCCGAAGAAATTAATATCTTTCAATTAAATAAGGTTTTTAGTTGAGATAAAAAAGTCAGTGTCACGAGCGGGATTCGAATCCACGATCTTCGGCTAGATACGCCCCTGCTCTACCACTTGAGCTATCCTGACCACGATCTACTCGGACACTAACTTGTTAAAGGAGGGAAAATTCAAAACGTGGGGTTGAAATGGGAAGTTAGTGTCCGAGTGGATCGAGGTCAGGATAGCTCAAGTGGTAGAACAGGTGGGTATCTAGCCGAAGATCGTGGATTCGAATCCCGCTCGTGACACTGACTTTTTTTCTCAACTAAAAACCTTAATTAATTGAAATACATTAATTGGTCAAGAGGACCACGAAAACTAGTGAATTTAAAGGAAATGAATACACTTTGGTGAAGAAGCAAATTATTGGAATTAACAACGAAACAAACGAAATGCTTTTTTTGTACTCTTTGCCATAACTTTTTTATTTGATGGCCCAATTTGAACTTCTATTGAATCATTGTTTTCAAAGTTAAAAAATCCTTTAAAATGATGTGTCAGGATGAATATGGTCGTATTTGAAATTACAAAGTTAAGCTAGGCCTTTGGGGGCGTCGGTGGCGGCAACGGTTTGGGCGTTGACACGGCGCTCATTACTGTAAGGTAAAGGTCCCGGGTTCGAATCCAGCGTCCCTGCATTCCAACCCGAGATACTTAAAAATGGGCTTTCCCTGACGGTTTATATGAAAAAAACGGCCTTAAACATTTTGTATTTTTCTCCAGAAAAAGATAAAAATTTGAAACTATGTATGTAATTTTTTTATAGAATTATTGGTCCAAGAGAAATTCAGCCGGGTCATCTAAAAAGGACATCCTATATATAAATAGATTGACAAATAGTAATGAAGAGAGTCAAAAAAAAGGGAGAGAAAAAGTGGGAAAGATAGTGAAAGTTCTTTAAGAGAACAACATTATAATTAATTTTATGGCTTATCGATTTTATAATATTTTAATTTAAGAAAACTGACCTATATGGTATGTGTATATAAATGATAGCTGTTGAACAGATTACATTAAAGGCTGAAAGGTCAAGTACAAAATATTTTTATCCTGTTAGATAAAAAAAGGTCAAACTTAAAGAAAAATTGAATACGCTTCATCGCCTAATTGCGGAACGCATAGGGATCAAATAGAAATGGAGGACCAACTTTCCTGACCACAGTGGAAACGCCCTGAGACCGAAACTTGGCGCATTAAACAGGCATTAAAGTCCCGAGGGGTCGCCCTTATTGTTAATTATCTTGTCGGCAAATCCTAGTTGGGAATCAGCTGCAGGGAGATTACGATATAGGGACTTCTGTAACGAGTTGTTCGACTTAGTTTTCAAACGGGTGAAATGTTTTTTTGAGTGAGACGAATGAAGTTTATACGTATCAGAATTTACTGGCATGTCGAGAAGTAATTTCGTACTTTATATTCGGCACGGTTAAACCACTTAGTACGAAGCAGAGATCGGCGAGTCAAACCATTGACGTTCCAGGGAATTCAGGAGGTATTAGTAACAAAAGAATGTCTATTCGGACAGCCAGACGAACTTAAATGCATCTACCGATACAATACGGTGGATTGCTTCAAGGCCCCGTCAAACATTTGGAGAACAAAAAATAACCCTTCATTGGGTACAAGTCTACACAGGACCATCAATTTTCCAATTATCAAACCTCCATCAAACAATTGGTTGAGTATAAGTCTTCGGTTCATGTTGTATTCCGGGACAGAGACATGCAAAAAGGGCCATCCAGAAATTAACTGTAAAACTACTAAACCTAGGACGTGTTAGAATAGAATGTAGGACCGGCCGACATCCCTCTGGACCTTTCCGGCCGTACTTGTCCGCGACGATCTGGCGAACTTGCCAAACTCGTGTACACCGCCATACCTCTACAAGGCTAAGTTCCTTGAACTTAGAAATAGATACGCCGGTTTTCGTCTGATTTTTACAGACGGGTCCAAGACCGGCGATGGTGTGGCGTGTGTTGTGTATAACGAGGGAGTAGCCACCTTCTGGTCGTTGCCCCCTCACTGCAGCGTATACACGGCAGAGCTGTATGCGTTTTGGCACGCTCTCGACGCGGTGCGGACCGGGGAGGGCTCAGCCTTCCTCGTATGTACCGACTCCTGAGCGCTGTCGGGGCTATACGCGACCGGTTCTCTGTTGACCCTCTCGTCGTGCTCTTGTTAGAGAAATACGCGGAGTTGGAGCCTCTCGGAAAAACGGTGGTTGTTGTCTGGATTCCCGGACACGTCGGCCTGGAGGGTAACGAACGCGCGGACGAGGCGGCGAAAGCCGGTACGTCCCACCCTCCAGATCGGACCATCGCGATCAGGCCCCCTGACGCTAAACACGCAGTTAAAAATATGATAAAAGAAAGATGGCAGCGTCAGTGGGCGGGGTCGTCGGAGAGGCTCTTGCGAGTCAAGAGCACGACCGGTAGATGGCCCTCAGAGAATCTGAGCAGGAGACGAGGGATCGTCCTCACCCCACTGAGGATTGGCCATACTCGGTTGACACATGGGCATCTGCTTTTGAGCCAAAGCCCGCGCAGGTGCCCCTTATGCAGAGAAAGCTTGCTCGATGATATACACATAATAGAGGCGTGTCATACCTTGGCTCCATACAGAGAGCGTGTAGGCATGCCACCGGATTTAAGAACGGTAGCGAGTTTTAGAGTCCCCTGTTCCGCTTTTTAGGGGAAATTGGGTTTTTTTATTTTATATAGTATGCTTATGTGTTATGTGTCTATATGTTTCGTCTGTGTGCATGTATTTATTAGCGTGAATGGCGAGGGGTGAGGGTGTATATAACGTCATCATCGCCCCTCGATCGATGAAAGCGAGTGAGTGTGTGTTCGGGGTTGATGGCGGAATATTTATAAAAGTACCCCATCGACCCCAATCTAGTTTAGTTTAAGTGTAGGTCGGTGGAGGAATATCAAGTACTCCACCGACCAAACGGAATGAGTGTACTGTATGGATGTATTTAAGTGTATGAATGTATTTATTTGTATGAATGTTGTGTTTGAACGGGTATAGAATAGAGAATATAGACTTAGTGGGGGGCTGAAATGACCTAGATGTCGGAAGCCCCAGCAAAAAAATATTTAAAAAAATAAAATATAAAATAGAATGTAGGACTTTTGACTGCACACTGAAGAATCTGAAGGCATAAAGACTCGTTGCAGCAGAATTAAGACTGTTAGTTCAGGAAGAAGAAGAAAATTAGAACCTATACTCCAGTTCACTAGAAGCAGCCGTTAACTTTGGGATCTGATAAAAAGTCTTAAGCTTAACGAAGAGCTCTAAGCTAGAATGAGGATGTACCAAAAGACCGATATTGGACGGGGTCCAGATTGTAAAGAGACTGACTCCTTTTTACCAAAATCTTAGAATGAAAAGTGGAACTTGATAAAGCAGAAACAGGTCAACAAGGAAAAGAATGTTGAAGTCATTGTGAATGGTCATGTTATAGAGGGTCGTACAGAGCATGGAGTTCTGAGGATGGATTGGATGGAAGGATGGCGTCGTGTTACCCACAGTTCACAGTATGTACAAATCGTCTGTGTGTTACAGTCAGGTTTTGGACCTAGAACCTTAGTCGACCAAGTCTTCTGTTCAGTTTATTGATCGAGGATCTTTAAACGTAGTTAGTTCCTTGATATTACATTTGTCCTCGTTGCATATCATATATTTTTGCATTATTCTTCAATGAGATCGAGGTGTTCTTGGATATTGGCCTAGGTTGAAGGTTAGAACGAGTCGACCACAACTCTCCCAAGAACTCCCTTGTATATCTTTCAAGCTCGAGCTTTTCATTTCAAAGGATTCTTGGCCTGCATTGAACTATGTAGCTATATCCGATTAACAGGGGCATTTTCCGCTTCTACTTCTTCTTCCTAGTACATGTGCACAGGTTTGTTTCTTCTGCTCTTAGTCTCTATGCCTCCGGAATCTGCCCTTTCCAATCAGCAGTCGAACCATCATCATCTATCCTTCTGGTCTATTAGTTCCTAGATTTAGTACTTAAGAC